CCAACCATTTTCCTCAAGTTCATTTGACCTACCCTTATCCCTAATCGTACCACTACTCACTTCACTCTAATCAGTAGATTATGACTTAATTTGTTCCGGTACTCAAAACTCTTATACTTTTTACCTTTTAAGACTTTTTAACTACTAACTGCGCAGCAACCGTTCAACCAACTCACTGATTTTCTGTTCACTGTAATCTTCAATAAGTTCGTCAGTATAAGTATTTCCAAAGACAATTACATTAGCAACCATATCTTTTAATATTTTACATATATGCTTATATTATTAGTACAATTTTTGAGTTGAAATGATTATCTTCAGTCAACACTTACCCATTTTCATATAATTTTCTAAAAAATTCATATTGTTGAGATTATGTGGTATTTTTCCATTATATAGTTGATGAGTCACTTTGCAATGTATATCGCACACCATATAAAATCGGTCATGAAAATTAAGCATAACAAGTTCTGCTAACGGTTGCCTTACTCAGAACCACTTTGCATAACTTTATCACTAATTGTTCCACTACTCATATCACTCTGCTAAATAGAATATAACTTAGTTGTTCTAATATTAGCTATTTTTATACTTCACAACTCTTAAGGGAAACCTAATTTCTTAGTCTTTTGTAGTAACCCACTTGTTCGCTAGTACGATGATAATATTGCTAAGAATGTCCTCTGGTGTTGTTGTGCCATGTGACCTAGTGGGAAGTACTTGTCATGAAAGTTGTTAATGTGCAGCATACTGTTTGATTGGGACGGAGTCAAAGCAATCCAATATTACAACTGCAGTCATCGTAAAAGGTCTCAGAGCTTAATGTCAAAAAAGGAGGGAGGGTGGCGCGAGCTGGTCATCAGATTTGGTAGTGGTCACAAATGTGAATCGCTCCGATCTGTAGGACAGCAACCTGCATTATTTTGGCAGCTCGAGAATCAAACATGAGTTTAGATACTGAATGTATGAAAAAATTAGACTTTAAAAAAATTTAAAAAATAAAACAATAAGGACTGTACAGTTTTAGCTTGTAAAAAATAACAATGCTTTCGCTCCTAACATCTACAAGCCTGCTCAGTTTCTTGTCAAGATGCTATCCCATGGGCCATACACAAGTTCGCCAGGCATCCTACAGGACAACATACTCAACAGGTTCTAATCCTTCTAGCCACTTCTCTCTGAGACGTGACTTATATACTTCACGATAATCCTTCTACCTAATTACTATTATGCTCTATTTTATCTCAACTTCCTAGGATTTTAATAAAGCTGTAATTTTTTTCCTTTTTCTCATTTGCACCGTTTTCTCGCGTAAAGTTCGGTTGCTCTGATGATATAAAAAAACAACAACACTCATGTTTGACAATAACTTTATTTTCATAGAAAACGTCATAGTTTTCCATGGTAAGACCGATGTGGTTAGCATCATACATTGCAAATGTGCACTATCATATTAAGTACTGTATAACTTATGCTTGTATTTTTCTTGTAAATATACTTCCAATAATGTATTATTCATGATTGCATTTCATACCAATTTATAGCTGTGCAGGATTTTCTCCTCTTCCTGAAATAGCGTTCAAGCACGTGGGGTCACAGTACTCACTCACATATATGTTGTTTATCGATGGGTCATTACTATCATCAGGAAATGGAACGAAGTATGGGTTGTCGCTCAACTTCGATGGAGACCTTCGTGAAAGATTTACAAATTAACAATTATAAGAATCTGTTCCGATTGCTTGTACTGTAATTCAACAATTTGAACTTTTTTAAAAAAAAGTGATAATGTATGCTAATTCACAATTGTAATTCGTAGCATAATTGATCGTGCCTGTAAAAATGGCATGCATTTCATGTAAACTTACCCGTTTATACGAAATATATATTATTATATATTTATAAACATTTATATATACATAAAAACATCAGTGTTCTTTTCATGTTCACATACTTTGTCTTTCTGATATTCTGTTGCTAAGCGTACTCTTCTATTTACCCCCTGGTCGAGGTCGAACAACCCAACATTTAAACTGAAATGACCATTTAAGTAAATTCAAACTCAAATTCCACGAGCGATCCGATGCTACCATTTGAAGACGCTGGCCAACATTCTGTACAGGGAGTATTCTTGATCTGAAATAAATAAGCAACTTGTTTTCAAACAGTTTTCAATGTATTACTCAACTTACGTGTACAGTCTGCCATGCTGATACAAATGGCGCCAATGGATAGTTCTAGAATAGACCTCGGCCACATTTGATGCAGTAAAACAATCAAACCTGAACCTATCCAGTTTCCGTATCCACGATCAAATTTCCTTCCTATTATAAAACTACGATTAGACTGCTGAAAAAAATGGAATAAATACATCACTGACCTCAAAATAATACGTCAATAAACTTTAACTCAAGGATGCTGTTCACAACAAAGTTATATGGGAGAATCGGCTTCAAGCTCTATTTTTCCCAGATATTTGTATTACATTCATCTGATGTCTGGGTTTTTTGTTAATGCAAAGACAATATTTCTCTATCTCTTTACGTGTTACACAGACGGACTATTTTGCAGACTGTTCCGACTGACTCTAATGTCAGAAAGAACAAACAAACTGTAAATTCAGCATACATCGAAATATGTGTAATTTATATGATAACTTATCCATGCCTGCACAAATGGTATGTTCCTGCATAAACAGGAATAAATATATATCATTATTATTAAGTGCTATGCAGGCACTTGATTATATGCTATTTCAGGAAGAGGAGGATGTCCTGGGAAACTGCAAAATGGCGAAAAATGCAATTATGGATGATACATCATTGGAAGTAGATTTACAAGATGTATAGAAGAAGGAGGTGGAGACTCCTTGGAATGATAGTACACATTTGCAATGTTTAATGACAACCATATCGGTTTAAGCATGGAAACTAAGACGTTTTCGTTGAAAAATAGCTTTGTTCAAACATTAGTTTCGTTGCGTTTTTATTCAAAGCAACCAAACTTTAAGGAAGCAGCAAATATGAAGAGTAAGTTTTAGCTCTAATAAAGGCCTGGGTAGTTAAGATTAAATAGGGCATAGTAGTGCGTAAACAAAAAATTGTCGTTAGGTGGATAGGTGATATTTCAGTGAGAAGTGAATTTAAAGACCTGGAAGAGTGGGACCCATAAGACAAGCTGACTTGTAAGATGTCTCACGAATTCCAGTAGGGTCCGTGGAACGCCATCTTGACAAGAAGCTGAACGGGCTTGTGGATGATAGGAGCAGAAGCAATTTTAAAAATTTAGATCTGTACAACCCTTATTTTTTGTATTTTGTTAAGGATCCAGACTTACGTTTAATTCTCGAGCTGTCAAACAAAGGGTGTGAAGCCTTACACTGCAAAAATATGTGGGAGAACTGACTTTAAGCTTTGTTCTTCTTTGGTGTTTTTAGTCTATCAGCCACAGACCTGGTGTTTTTGCTTATGTGAATACAATACTTTCAAGTTTCTAAATGTATTACACTCACTAATTGGTTAGCAGAATGTTAAAGGGGAGAGCAGCAATGTAGCTCCAACACAAAATTGATTAAAATGATTAAATTATCCATACCTGTGTGATCGATATGCGTTTGCATAGACGAAAGTAAATACATTATGACTAAGGATAGTGTTGCAAACTCTACGTAGTGTTGGGTAGGTGGCAGATGTTAATCGGACAAAGGAGTGAGAACTGAGTGTAATTAATTGTTTGCAGACACCTTGATAGTGTTGCAGATAAAGCTTGTGGTGGTTGAAATAGATTTTTCACCAAGTAATGACTCCAACAGAGGTGACTTGCTGTTAGTGCCAGGACAGTGTGCCTCATTACTGCCGACACAGAGCAAAAGATGTGCATTGTTAACTCCAGGACCTTGATTGGTGGAGGCTCTTCCTCCATTTTGGCGTCAAAGCGTTAGACATTATCTGTGCCGCTTGCATTAATACTGCAGACGAGATTCTGTGTTGGCAAAATAACGTTTGGTCAAATAAAATAGCGACGCAGCCGATAGATTTTGTGGGCCGCGGATTGGAATTCAGTTATGCGTGTGATAGTAATAGTTCTTATTATAGGTGTCAGAGTTATTGTGGTAGGTACTGGTCTGTAGTCATATGTCATAATATTTTCATAGTCACAGAAAGCTAAAAACACCCTTTAAAAGGACTATTTAGCCCAGCAGTTAGTTGGTACGGGGGTCTCGGAAATGGATTTGAGTGTGGTTCAAGAACAGGCACGGGATTTCTGGTAAAGTTATAACATCCCGGTTGATAAGTGTGTGGCCTGGTTATAAGATCGACAGAGACAAAATGACCTAAATTTCTCCCAGGTATAACTTTTGTAACTAATGGACTTGTAGTCATATAACCGGTCACAGATTCACTGGAGTTTCGATCCTACGTTACTGTTAGTATTCTGTCATTGAATACGCTTGTAGCGATTTCCCATCTCCAGGCATTGCAGGGCTCTAACTTTTGTGAACAGTGGATTCGTAATCAGTCTACAGGTCATGTGAAAGGTGGTAGTTTACTCCTAAATGGTGTCTCAATTCTAGCTTCTGTATTTTTAAATGATGTCATAGGTCTAATTCAGGATTTGTATTTTCAGCTTTGTTGCTAACGGATTGCCATTTACATATCCTTCTCAATTTTATTACCATTCACACTTTAAGTGCGAGCGTCGAACAGACACGCAGTAATCCAAATATTAACAAAACTCCCTAATTTGTCGGCTAAATGATGTCTCCCTGATTAACTAATGGAGATTGTGGTCAAGCAGGAGAACCCAAGATAAGCCACCGAACTTAATCCATATTCAGATACACAGGGGTTTACGTTTAATTCTGAAGGAATAAGTACAATCAACCTTCTGGTTCAACTACGAAGCTTTTAATGTTTGACTTTGTTAGGCGCTAAGATTGGTTGTGGCGCGTATCCATCGTTGACATACGTTTTTACAATATGACGAGGAAATCATAAACCATGGCTAATAGGCGGCGTCTTACTGTGTCTGGTGATCATAAACCAGAGGTAATTTGCACAGTGTTGCTAATTGTTTCTCAGGAGAAAACATGTTGGTCAACTCCCACTGTATATCATGCAGCTATTGTGATATTCTTGGAATTCTTTGCCTTCGGATTGTTGACCACTCCGATGATCTCGGTATGACTTAATCATAAAGTTATTTTTCTTTAGGTGTTAGATGAAACATTCCCCAAACACACGTTCCTTATGAATGGAATTATACAAGGAGTAAAAGGATTCTTGTCATTCTTCAGTGCTCCGTTCTTGGGTGCCCTCTCCGATATGTTTGGGAGGAAGCCGTTCTTGCTTCTAACAGTCACTTTTACATGCTCTCCTATACCATTGATGAAAATTAGTCATTGGTGGTATTTCACTATGGTCAGCATATCGGGTATCTTTGCAGTGACATTTTCATTCGCCTTGGCATATGTCGCTGATATAACGACAGAAGAGGATAGAAGTTGGGGCTATGGATTGGTAAGCATCCTTATTAGTGATTTGTTAATCAAATTCTCATTCGTCTGGTTCAAAGATTAGTGACTCAAGCGAATGAACACATGAATTATTTTAGAGCTACTAGTTACTGTAAATCAGACTAATTTACGTCCAAAAGTAGTATATTCGTGAGCAAATGTTCCAAGAAGGGTATTTACTCTACAGGTTCTCTAATTTAAAAGACTGAAACAAAAACTTAGACTTTCCCACGAAGTGGCTCTATGGATCTAAGTGACTTCTGCTTGTGGTCAGAAGCTAGAATGCTCTGTTAAAGTTAGCATTTGCTTTTGTGCACTTTCCTGATTTAATTGATTTCACTAATCTGGTACAGTACTTGCAAATCATAAACTTGATTGCTTAAGATGATTCTGCCGGATTGCTGTTCCTTGACTTGGTTTTTGTGTTTTTCTAGACTTAAATTCATGACATTTTTGTCTGTATCTGGATTTAGTGATTCCTAGTTTTCAGTTCACTTCTCTAATCCTAACATATATGTCTAAAAATCACTTGACCACATGAGAATAGCTTGTGTTGGTTATAACGTATGAGCTGAAACATGTATTGAAAAAAAAAACTAAGCAAGGAATATCCTTTTCGATAATTTCCTCTTCTGACTCTACAATTATACATACATACTAATATACACACAATATTCTGGAATAACCGTCACTAACAATATTGGTGTTTTTAAATATTATAAATTTGTTAAGATCAATGAATTTACAGCTCAAGAAGGACGCTTAATTTATAATAAGCATAGAAATGTAATAGCAAATACAATATCAGGTAAAATTAAGGAAATTTCCACAACTAATTGATGGTCAAGGTAAGGACAGTGTCTGGACCAACTTCTTCTTTTGGATACATAAGTTAGGTGTCTTAATGTGGATCCCAACAGCCTCAACAATATGTAGTAAATGAACGCTTAAGGTAAAGTTACGATTAGTTGGTATACGGTAGATGACTTTGAAAGCCTTGTTAATATTACTGTTGTTTTGTATCTACAAGATAAGGTAGAATATAGGTACAAATGGATTTTGTCTGTTTCTTACTTAACCACACAGAATGGCGTTCGGAAATCCGTCGATAGACACGCCTAGTTGTACGGCCTTTGTAGCTGGTTCCACAGGAGCAGTCAAACTGGTAAATACACATGGATTTTTAAATTAGGCAGCTTATATACATATAATAGTAGAGCCAGAAGAGGAAATTATCGAAAAGGTATTTTTTGCTCAGTTTTCTTTTTCTAAATGTCTGAATGAATGTTTTCCCTGTATGTATTGAAGTTGTCCAGATGAAACTTAAGTTTTGAATGTTGTGTCTCATAGTGTCTAGCCTATCCATCTATACTTCCTTTTACTTAGATTTTTCAACTCAAATTGTTTATTAATAAAACAATTAGGTTGGGTGTGTCCTTTATCTGTGACTTTTTTCTCAAGGCCTGTTTCGAATTCCATTTCTGGTGCACTGGGCCAGCAAGAACAATTTTTTATACATTGGATTCACTGCTAAGGAGACGAGTCAGGAATTTCTGAATATTTTGGTTCACTACAGGGGGATATAAATATGTAATGATAGGTCTGTATGTATGTTGTTTGAACTTAAACAGATCACTCACGTACTAGGCTAAGAGCCACATTTATTATATAGGGGTGAATAACAGTCGCCCCTTGAGAGTGAAATAAATGTAGTACTACTGAAACCGGTGACCGTTGGCAGCAAACCGATTTCTTAAGTTAAAGTCACGTGTCTGCATACATGCTTTCCGGTTGATGCAGGTAATTTTTCTTTAGTAGAGTATAACGTCATTCTATGACGATAATGATAATTAACAAAATGAAATAGATATCGTCTTAGTTGGTCAGTATGTTGTAGCGTCTAAATATTAGTTATCCAAATATAGGTAAACTTTGGATGTGACTTTATAGTGTAGACGCAAGCACTTTTGATCATTAAGGTAAACACCACTGTCCATTTTGGACGATGTCTGATTTTCACTTTTCCTAGTGAAATTCACCGGTCGAAAAACTGCTATAGTGTTTTTGTTTACGAGTATTCTCTATAGCTGACAGTTTCACTTTCACTCAATAGTACATTATCTACTTACGTTTGAACAGTCGAGATTCGCTCATGTTTACAATGAGTCATAAGTAAATGTGTTCCTTTACCCAGATTTTTTGTCTTTTAACCAGAAGCGATCTTATTGTATCTTCTGAAAACTAATATGTAATTTTATCTAACTTTATTTATTTTTTTGAACAAAGGTTTCAGCCACATTCGCAGCCAGTCTCGTCAGCTCACCTGCAATCGGTGCATATCTAGGTCGAGTATACAGTGAAGAACTTGTTGTAGCATTGGCTACAGCTATTGCATTTCTAGATATTTGTTTTATTCTTGCCTGTGTACCTGAATCCCTTCCTGAAAAAGTACGCATTGGTCATTTATGCTCTGTATCCACTCTGGGTGGTCCAAGCGGTAAATTCTCTTGGGGTAAAGCAGATCCTTTCGCAGTAAGATATCATTATTATTATTATTTGTATTATCATTATTATTGTTATTATTATTTAAGTAACAATTTACACAAGTGTTTCTCACCCAAATATAATTTGTCTGCCTTGATCTTCTGTCTGATGGATGCTGTCTTCACTTGGTGATAGATCTTGTATATCGCAATCATGCGTGGAGTCATACGGGCTGGGACAAATGTTCTTGCAGATCAGATCATACCGGAAAGATCGTTTGTGGAGCAGTTAGATCAAAAGTGGTTAGTATCATAGGGTAAATGGAAAGTTGTATTGCATGCGAATATAGATGTAATAATAGTTTGTTGCCATAAGCTGTACAGGATAGCGGGATAGCGCCTGTGAATGGTGGCCATGTGACAGCCCGGTCCGCGCGTGGAGACTGCCTCCTCTTTGTGCGTCGGTGGCGCAGTGGTTAGGACTCTCGCCGACCATGCACAGGCAGCGGAGCAGTTACTCCCTCAAAGCCTCAGGATGGTCGGGGGTGGGTGCCTTGCGCTGCGGGTTGGTCACCCCTCCACACACCTCTTGAAATGCTCCCATATGACCGGGCGTCTTACATAGCCTCTCCTGAGGAAGTCCTACTCACTGCCTTCACGTGGCGGAGCTGTTTTTCACTAAAGTGAGAGGGCGACAGCGGATACCTGGCGCTCTTCACCGGGTTGACTGTCCATTGGATGACAGTCTAGGGGAGGTGGATAAACCCTGATTCCAAACCTCCAACGACTGGCGTATGAAGCTCACTGGAGCTCACCGGCAGACGTATGGACAAAGGGATTGTTGGATGTCCTGGATGTCTGGCCCCATTCAAAAAGGCGTATGAACCGAACTCCGGTCACCGGCTGCCAATGGATAGTGGACTCCCTACTCCACTCCTACTGCCTTGTAGGTCACACTTGGTTGTGTAAAGGCTAGAGCTGCACTCTCAAACAAAAGGCCGAGCGATTCTGGGGACATCACTCGTACCAAATTCCCATGAAACTTCATGAAATCTCTGATCGCCGCGCCTGGGCAGCGATGATTCGAGATGTTCATGAAGCCGGCTCATCCTCCCATAGGAGATAGCCGAAGTAAAGTAAAGTATGCACATGGTCCGGGGTTCGATCCCCTACCGACGCATACCGATATCTATAGTCGGCCTGCAAAATTTGGGCTACCGATATCCATGATGACAATTCCATACTTGTACTGAAAATACGGTGTGGCATCAAGCTGTAATCAAAAATAATAAATAAAATAAAATAAAAAATCCTAACCCATTCTACAGAAGTTCTTAGATGAGAGTAAGGTGGTCTGACGAATCGAATGTACTTGACTGGTCTCAAACAGTTATTGCCTGAGTTCTGAGGTCACGCACTATCAGTTCCTCTTCTCTTTCAGGCATTCCTGGTAAGAATTGATTTCCACTGTGTAGACAGTAGGGTGTGTGGGGTGGGGTAGCAAGCATCTATTCACTTCTATTGGCACAAATAAGTTCTGCATAGTTTATTAGGTGTGTGCGAAAGTATATCCAATATGGTAGGTTTTCAGAAAAATAAATTTTATCAAGTTAGAACCGAAAATCATTGCGTTACTGTTCAACATTACAACTCACAAATGTAATAGGTAGTAGAACAGGCGACATAAATGATAATAGTCCAGTCAAATGCGCTCCAATATTCTGTAGTGTAGAGTCAAAAAAAAGGCGATATAATCAAATGGTATTTTGATATAGATTCGTATGTGTATAGATTGGATGCATGTACATTTCCAGCAGGATGCAAATGTTATCAACAACTGTCTAGGTTCCGTACTGACTATAAATAGCCGACTTGTCAGAAAAGATAAGAAATGAACTCTGGCAACGAAGCATCCAAGAACCTGTCGGTCGAAAAAATATTCAGAAGAAAATGGATATAGTTTGGGCATATGCTAAGGAGACCGTTGAATGACATCGCATGGCAGGCTGTTGAGTAGAACCCGAGTGGGAAGCGACGAGTTGAGCTTCCAAGGATGATATGCAAGAGATTTTGTAGGGAGGAAATAAAAGCTTTTGAACACTCTTAGACCCATATGAAAAAGATTGCAGGGGATAGTGTAAAATGAGGATATGCTGTTGATGCTCTATGTTTCAATTGGAACCTAATTATTATTTTTATTGTTTCCTTTAGTTCCTAGAGGAACAAAGGACTTCAGCGGCAAGTATCCATTGCGTTCGGTTCTCTGCAAACCTTTTCATCATCTGGCTCCACCTCTGCCCACATGTTTTCATCTCCTCTTCACATGACCTCCTCCATGTCGCCTTTGGACGACCAGCTGGCCGCTTCCCATTCGAGTGCCTGTCGTGTGATGTCACTTGATGGTTTTCTTAGAGTATGGCCAATCCACCTCAATTTCTTCCTGCGAATTTGTTACACAATCGATTCCTGGTTGATTCGCTTCCAGAGATGCCTTCCCGTTGCTGATCTTTTCTGGCCGGCCATCTGACCTTGAGTAGTATTGAGCGAAGACATCTGTTGATGAAGGTCTATAGGTTGTTCGAAGTGCCCTTCGTGACGTGGCGGGAATGAGAATGATAATGATATAATTTGATATACATTTAGACCATAGGATAGAAGCGTATATATTATTGCATTATATCTTCATAAGTCTCTAATTATCGATTTCATTTATACGACGTATGCTCCTACGTTTAAATGCGAATCTGATTACTCCTAGCTTTCTCTCTACCCACTCTTACTTCAGTTAATAACATTGAACGTTGAGGGTAGGTTGTGGATAGCTAAGTTTAACAAGTGTTCCAATTAGGTCAATCGATAGAAGCCCACAGCTTGATTATTTCTACACTGTTTGGATTGCTTACTTGAATGAATTCTTCAGTGCGTTCAAAGAAAACGCGTTTTTGGAAGGAAAAATGCACATGTATCAGTTTTTAGTGTTTTCACGGGAATAGTCGAATAATCTGTGCATTCTAAGTCAATCCAGGAGTTCCCCTTTATAAGTTTGAACAGAAATGCAGCAAACATTGGTGCAGGTGCATAATATGAAACCACTTTTTTCCATCAGCTCTTGTCAGCTACGTAAAACCCTGTAACATTGAATAAAAGAAGTTATAATACACTTTTAATTAATATACACTCTGTTTGTCATTGTGAATCAGTTCCTCCACTAAGGATTGTTGTCTAAGTCAGTTCTTGTCGTTATCCTCAATTCAGAGCTAAAGTCTGTATGGTTTCATTGAAAGTTACGTTTCGGAGGTCAAATTGGCTATTGAATCATTGTGAAATTCCGTAATCTCATGCACTTTTTTCAAAATCTAAATCACCTGTCGTTACCATATAAAGATAAGGCTCCAAATATATTGGAATGCTGAGTTATTTAAGCCAAGTTCAGTGAAACTATATCTGGTGCCTAGACAACTGTTGCTATTTTATTTTCGGTATTTTAGACTCGTTTGATCATAGGTGCCTGCGTTCTATCTCCCGTGTTAGGTGGTATAATAGGATGAGCATTATTGAGGTTATGTATCGGTCGAGTGCTAGGTGAAGAGGGGAAATCAATAGACGAGACTGTGAAGCTACATAGACTGAGATGGTTAGGACGTGTGTTACCTATTAATTCCTAGCCATTGCATTCCTCGACGGGCAATGTTAGCTGACATAGGATAGATTAGATTGGAAAGGAGATAGAGGTGGCAGTCAAACGAAAACATGGCTTCATCAGTCAATGAAATCCACAACAGTTAATTTAACCCAGCCAGCCACGTAGGAAGGTGTAGACTTCCTGGTTGGGGTCATCGGGACAGTAAACACCCATGACTGGAGACAATCAGTGACATAGTTCAAAATCACCGTTGTCACTGGCTGGCGCAGATGCATCCACTCCTCGTGACTTCAAATACCAAATGAAACTACATTGTTCTTCGTTATTGCTATTCCTTTTGTCTCATATCTCTGTTTACTGTCACTATTATGCATTTCTTCTACTTTCTTCTCGTGGTTTGTGTGCTACATGGAGTGTGGCGACTTGAACTGCTGCACATCGATGCAAAGTTCTATGTCGGAAGCAGACAGACAGATTTTAGACTCGTAGCTGTGGCTCGTTGGCTCTTTGGTTGTTGTAGTCCCAACCAGTGGGTCACGGATTCGAACCCCACTCCACGCTTCCAGATTTGGGTAGTTCCGGGTGGTATAAACCAGCCTTTCACACACAATAGGTATGGCTCATTTCTTATTTCATAAATTTGCAAGTGTTTATTGAGTAACACTGAAATTGAATGATCTTCTACTCGAAGATATATGCCATTAAGCTCTCTGTGACTTAGCATAGTTCACTTGTAAGACAGTTTTACTTCATCTCTTTGAAAGTAGTACAGAACCAATATGCACATGCTGCTATTCAAGCTTGGGTTAGATTGTAAGCAGTATAGACCGGGGAGTGAAATTTGTTTCTCACTGTTGCACTTAGTGCTTTCTTTGTCTGTTCTGAAAATTTATTAGACTATTTACAGCTGAGATTATTTTTAGATCAGACTACCTAGAAAGATTGCATAAATAACGAATATTATTGATGAGTTGCCGATGCTTCTCTCATCACTCGCTTTCTTCACCTTTGCATTATTATTTGATAAAACACAAACTTGGCACATTGTGGACATCAAGAGATGCCCCACACAAAATATCGTAGTTTGCGAGGGCTGGGATACTGCCTGAAGGTCCAGGATAGAAGTATGTGGGGTCACCTCAGAGCTTATGACTTGAGGCCTGATTAACAACGCAAGGCGGTGAAAAAGGAGCATCAGGAGTTGCGTTCCGATGGTTCCAAGTAACCAAAACAGACTCATACTCCATTTGATGATCCTTCTTTCGGAATCTGGAGCCTGTATGCACCTAATGTTTTGTAATCAGTTTTTCAGCTCCGCTAAATATATATCTACACATGTAAATCAGTCCGGTTATAAGCTCCAGATGTTTGAATTCATCCTTTCACTTTTGTGAAGAACAACTCTT